TTTTCAATATTGATTCTTAGACCTTTTTCTTCCAAAACAGTCTTCCAGGTAGCCAGTCTACTATTCAGCTCATTTTTTGTTTCAGCAACTAGGACAATGTCGTTAGCGAAAAGCATACACCATGGAACACCGTCTGGTGTCGCACAATAGATGTCATCCATAGTCAAGGTGAAGATGTAAGGGCTAAGAGCCGACCCCTGGTGGAGTCCGATTTCCACTGGGAAAGCCTCGGTGTCGCCAACTGTAGTCCTGACGTATGTAGTAGATCTACAGTACATATCACGAATCGCTCAGATATAAACAGTTGGGATCCGTCTCATTTCCAAAGTCTTCCAGATCGTATTGCGGGGAACGCTATCATACACCTTCTCAAGGTCAATGAATGTCATGTGAAGATCTCTATTTTTCCCCTGTATTTCTCCATAAGCCGTCGAAGTAGATGAATCGCCTCCGTAGTAGACCTGCCTGGCATAAAGCCAAAATGGTTTTCTGAAACCCTAGTAACTTGTCTCAACCTAGCCTCTATTACCCTTTCCTATAGCTTCATGATATGGCTGAGTAGTTTAATACCTCTGTAGTTGCCACAACGTTGGGGATATCCTTTATTCTTATAGATTGGTATCACCGTAGACTCTCTCCACTCCTCTGACATCTTGGCAGTCTCTAAAATAATGTTAAAGATGTTGGTGAACCACTTTACTCCCTCTTCTCCTAGGACCAACCACACAGTAATAGGAATTTGATCTAGACCGACAGCTTTGTCCATCCCCATCTTTCTAAGAGCCATTTTGACTTTCTCAAACCCAATCCTACTTGTAGGGCAGTCATTGACCGTATTTTGATGGTCGGCATACCCATCAACGGTACTATCTCTACAGGGAGAGGCTCCGTCATTAAATAAGGCAAAGAAGTAACTACCCCAAACCCTCTTAATATCATGATCTTTCACTAAAAGGACACCATTGTTGTCCTTAATAAACCTAATGCTACCTAGATCCTTCTTCCTATTCTCCCTGGATTTTGCTAGCCTGAAGATGTCGTTTTGTCCTTCCTTGGTGTCTAATCTCTTGTACATTTCCTCGTATGCCTTATCATTTGCTTTAGCCACCGTTTTTTTGCTTCCCGCTTTGCCTCCTTGTATCGTTGTTTAGCTCTCGATCTTTCTTCGTCGTCATTGCAGTGTAGATACTCCTTGAAGCAAGTTTGCTTTGTCTTCACCTTAGTTTGGACTTCGTCGTTCCACCACCACGATTCTTTATGCTCATTGACCTTCTCTGTCGACAACCCAAGGGTGTTTTTACCCACCTCTCTGATGGAATTTGCCATATTTTTCCATAACAAATCTGCATTATTTGAGTTTGTAGTTCCAAAACTTGTATTAGACAAAACCTTACTCCTAAAGTCATCAGCTGTCGCTCCATGTAAGTTCTTCCAAAGGATCCTAGGTTTACCAAGTTTAGCCCTCGTATGAGTGCTCCGCTCGTGTCGTACGCAGAACACCAAAACCAACAATTTGTGTTGTGAAGCACATGCCTCTTCAGGAAACACCTTACAGTCAATGCAAGCCCATCGATCCCGATTTCGAACCAGGATGTAGTCGATTTGTGTACAATGTCCCCCGCTATGGAACGTAATCAGGTTTACATCTCTCTTGTTAAAGAAGGAGTTAGTGACCACCAAATTGTGTGCAGTAGCAAATTCAAGCAACGTACGCCCCTCCTCGTTCCTACTACCAAAACTGAAACCCCCATGAACACCGTCATACCCGTCGGTAGCGCTACCTATATGGACATTGAAATCTCGCCCTATGAAAACTCTTTGGTCCTCCGGAATGCTCCTAAGTACTTCATCTAACTGATCCCAGAAGCAACGTTTCTCCCCCTCCCATAGGCCAACGTGTGGGGCGTACACTGAAAATACATTCACCACTTCCGCTTCTATAATAACCTTAATCATCATGATCCTATCCCGGAATCTACAAACTTCAACTACATTTTCCTTGAGCTTAGATGATACCAAGATACCCACCCCATTTCTAGCGTTATCTACGCCTTAATACCACAACTTGTACCCATTACACTCTCTGGCGCGAGCCCCTTTCCACCTAGTCTCCTGAATACATGCAAAATCTATTTTCCTATTACTAAGTATGTTGGTCAGCTCCAGCAACGTAGCATTTAATGTGCCTACATTCAACGAACAGACTCTAAGTCTAGTCTCCTTGACACCACTTTGTCGAGCCCTCCCCCTATGCGTCCTATGGGATCTAAAAGAAGGACATGACCTCAAGTAATCATCTATAGCCGAAGCTATGGGGAACTATGAAAAAGGAATCCAAAGAAGACAAAAGATGCACCAATAAAACACTAGAGAATTGAGGGAACTAAGAAGCCTAGTTGGTCAATTAATTTAATTTTATTGTTATTTTTATTGCTAAAAGCCTAGTGTTAAAAGGGAAGAAAATAGATCTTGATGTATGAAAGGATAAACCCTAGACAACCATAACAGATTTCAAACCCACAATACAACAGTAAATTTAAGACATTGAAAAATCACTACCCAGATCAGAATTCAAAAACCCAAATCAAAGAGTAAACTTTGAAACACAAAGGTAGAAAGAAAAACACTGAACCCAAGAAGTGAAGGAAAACTTTTTCTTTATTTTGTAAGCTTTTTATATTCACCTGGGGAGGTAAAGCAAAAGCAAAGAGGCCAAAAGAGAGAGAGTGTGAATGAAAACTTATAAGTATGAAACAAAGAATTAACAGCAGAGAGTGAAAAGCAAAAGAGAAATAAAAGGACAGGGAGGGGTCACGGCTGCACGGGAATTAAACGGAATTTCAATTCAAATCCAAGGATCCACAGCTTTAAGATCCAAAAGTTGGAATTCAGAGATCTAAGAGAGATAGAACAGGCAGAGATTTGGATCTGAGGAAGAGAGAAAACGCAAGTCTCTGTATCTTCTAAAAATTCTAGTTGTACACACAATAAAAACATTAATCTATAATAAAGAACAAATAGGAAGATCAATTTTAAAATAAAGTCAAAAAAAGTTCTCACAAGAACTATAGAAAGCAGATCAAGCTAACTAGAAAAGTAAAAATCCAGATCCAAAGAGAAGCAGATTAAGCTAACTCTGAGTCTATAAAAACCTTTAGAATTCTAGATCTGTCAAGCTAGCTTGACAATAAGAGCAGAGTTAAAGAAGATGGCACCAATTTACGGAAGAGCAGTGCTTGTATTCAACAATCTTGTAGCTTTCCGATTGATCAACTTTCCGATCACTAAAAATGGCAATATAAATACAAATAAAGTAATATTACTTACGTAAGCCTAGGCCTAAACAAAGGAAGAAACCCAACATCAACTCCATTAGTAAAAAATGTTTTAATTAAGGTTTAATATAAAAACAAGTAATTAAATTATACTTAAGATTGACCTTTGATGTCCTAAATAATTTTTTTTATTAAAAATAGGTGTGTAATGTTTCATTACATTTTTAGGTATTTACAGTTAAAAAATCCGTTAAGTGACATATGTCACATTCAGATTTAAAAAAATATTTTTAGGAGTAATATTTTATTTTTTAAAAAATAAAAAATATAAACATGCCACGTGTCATTTAGCGATTTTTTAACGATAGATACCTAAAAGTGCAACGGAGAAAACATTAGGCACCTATTTTTAACAAAAGATCATTAGGCACTAAAAGTCAATTTTAGACATAGTTTAGACACTTATTTTTGTATTAAGCCTTTTAATTAAATGATAATAAGAAGGGTAGCGTACACACATGATCCCCAACTATAGAGTATTGCTTTGTTGAGTCTTTTAACTATTAAAAGTTACAAAAGGGTCCCTTAATTATAAGACATTGCTTTGTTGAGTCCATTGACTATTAAAAGTTGTAAAATGGTCACTCGACTATTCATATATTCTAAACTCGTCATTTTCTGTTAAAAAAAATGATTGCAGTCTAAGCTGGACGTGAACCTGCTAATTGTGATATGATAAAATCTGATCCCAAAATCATATCTTAATAGGTTGACGTTCAACTCAGATTGTCATCAAATTTTTAACGTAAAAGGATGAATTTGGAATATATGAATAGTCAGATGATCATTTGTAATTTTTTATAGTATGAGACACAACAAAGAAATGTCTTTAGTCAAAGGATCATTTAGTAACTTTTAATAGTTAGGGGCCCATTTGTATACTTCATCCTAATAAGAATTAAATCTAATATCTAAAATTATATTTTTGGTGATTTCATTTTTTTACATTTATTATTATTTTTTGGAAATAAACTATATACATGGCAATATAAATACAAATAAAGTAATTTATATATTTACCCATATAAATATGGCAATCTACTAAAGATTACTTAATATATAATATACATGACAACAAAAAATATAAATACAAATAAATTAATATATACACTAATAAATCACCAAATACATCTGTATATTAATTATCATACATATATGGTAATATAAATTAAAATAAAGCAATATATACATGCAACTAAATCTACCAAATTTTGTTTTGTTTTATATGTATGAGAAAATAATTTGAATTTGATTCGATCAAAATCGATCGACAATTTATCGATTGATTTCGTTAATTTTCCTCCAAAATCGATTCAATTTTCGATTTTCAAAAACTAAAGTTAATATGATATGTTTTAATTTTTGTAAATAAATATTATTTTGTTTTATTTTTAAAATTTTTTGTCATTGTGACACTATAATAATAATAATAAGAAGAAGAATTTGATTAATTTAGTGTCCATTTCATAATAATCAGATAAAATTTAATGACGATTTCATAATAATGTAATAAAATTTAGTGGTTAGTTTACAACGTTTTAAAAATATAGTGACTAAAATAATGATTTAATCATACTTTACCCTCTATATAACGGCTCCTTAAAGCTTGAACTCCTCTATTATCCTTTCGCTCCAATTTCTAAAAAGAACAAAAAAAATCACAGAATGAGCAACGCAGGGATTAACATCAACATCTCCGATCTCGGCGATGGTGAAATTACATCTCTCCTCTTAAACCCTAATCCCCTTTCGTTTCAATCTATAATGCAATTTTGTTTTTGTTCCCTCTTAATTTGGTTTCAGGTCTTAACGAGGAAGCTCGAGCCGGTGGCATCGACGATCTAACGGTCAGTGACTACTCTTCTTTCGCTCTTTTTGGTTTCTTTGTTTTACCGTGTTTTGTTCATTTATTTATCGTATATTTTTCTTGCAGGATGAAATTCAGAGTCTTGCTATGGATTACACTGATGAGTTGGAGACCTTTTCTCCGAATGTCAGGAAGCGTGTGGAGGTTCTCAAAGAGATCCAGGTACGTAATTTTTACTAAATTGCTTGTGGTTTATTTATTTTTTCGTTACTTTAATCGAATTCAGAGTCCGATTTCATAGCTAAGAAACTCGATAGTCTCCTCGGATGTTTAAGTTCACTCAATTTTGATTCAGTTTACTTTGATCGAGTAGAAAGTTGCTGTGGAGTAGCGTAGATTGTTGTACACTAACTTTAGTTTTAGGATTAAGGGTGTATGAAGCCCTTGAATTTTTGGGGAAAAAAGAATAATTAAGTTTTTGAACTTTTATTTAAATCTTATCGATCTGTTAAAATCGAGAAACTAAATTGATCAAGTCTTCGAAATGAGAAATTAAATTAATTAAATTATTTTATAAAATTTGACTTTTAAGTCTTAATATATTTTTTCAAATATTACTGTCACATTACATGACGTGGTTCTACTACATGAAATTTGCAGAATTAAAAAAATCTTAAAAAAGCCATTGAAATTCAAAATAATTTACAAAAGTTCTATAAAAAGGTCACACGGTCTTGAATTTTTTTTCAGAAGTTCGAGGAACTTTGACACCCTTAAGCCTTGTTTTTATTTGAGCCACAATGTGGTTGGTAAAGAGAGTGCATTTTTGACAAAGGCCTCTGCATCTGTGGAGCAAACTGAGTTGAGATAATTGCATTCATAATAAAATTTTGTAATACTCGATTTAGTCTAATGGGTAAATAAATCGAATTATGGTAGCTAAACCAAAATAACAGAGTGCATTTTTGACAAGGGGTTCTTCGATCTCTTCAACAGGTCCAACATGATGAATTGGAGGCTAAATTTTTCGAGGAAATGGCAGCACTTGAAGCTAAATATCAGGAACTATATAAACCCTTCTATGCCAAGGTTTGCCTTTAGAATTTTGTTCCTTTTTTTCTTCTTTGATTCACTTACCGTTGCATTTCATTAGGTTAATTAATCATCAATGAACCCGCAGCGATATGGTATTGTGAATGGCGTTGGTGAAGCTGACAGAACTACAAACGATGTAGACATGGACCAAAAAGAGGATAATGCAATTATGTATTATGTAGAGAAAGGGGTGCCTTATTTTTGGCTTATTGCCATGAAAAACAGTGAAGAGCTTTCAGAGAAGGTCAGTTTATCTATTTATAATTGTTCTTTGGCTGCTTTTTTCTTGTTGGAAATAGTGATGCTCAATTTTACCCCTTTGGAATCAGATCACTGAGCATGATGCTGGAGTTCTCAAGTATCTTGAGGATATTAAGTGGCATAGGATCCATGAACCAAAAGGATTCAAGCTTGAGTTTTACTTTCACACCAATCCATATTTCAAGAATACTTTGTTGACAAAGACTTTTCATGTGATCGAAGAAGGTGATCCTGTTCTTGATAAAGCTATAGGGTAATTCACCTTTAACTTTTTTAAAATGTCTTACTGAATCATTAGATTATCAGATTACAAGGCATCTTACATTTTAATTGAAATCATTTTCCTCGTAATTTATAGGACGGAAATTGAATGGTATCCAGGAAAATGTTTGATCCTTGAAAAGAAGCCTGAGAATGGATCAATGGATGCCAATCCAACTTCTAAAACAGAAGATTCTCAAAGTTTCTTCAAGTTCTTTTACCCTCCTGAAGTTCCTGATGATGTTGATGACATTGATAAAGATACTGTATGGGAAAACTTTAAATAGCTGTATAAATTTTGATGACTGTTAATGGGTAAACTATGCATTTAGTACCTAAACTATCGATTTTGATCCGTTTTAGTACCTAAACTTTCAATTTTTTTAAAACTTAACATTAAATATTGAACGGCGGTACTAAAATGAAACAAAAATTAAATTTATGCATGGTTTTGAAAAAAAATTAAAAGTTTAGTTACTAAAACGGATCAAAACTGATAGTTTAGATACTAAATATATAATTTACACTTGATTAATTTACTTATGTTTTTTTTCAAATCGTTCTTTCTTTCTTGCACAGGCTGAAGAGCTTCACAATTTAATGGAACAGGACTATGACATGGGGTGTGTTCTCTTCTCAAGCTTTCTAATGAGCTATATGTTTATCAAACTGATAATTTGTATCTTATTTTATCTTTTTATTTGTGCAGAGTAATAATTCGAGACAAGATTATTCCGCGTGCAGTGTCATGGTTTACAGGAGAAGCTGTTTATGGAGAATATTTTTATATAGATGATGATGATGATGATTGCAGTGATTATGATGACGACGATGACTCTTCTTCCGAGGAAGAGGATGAAGAAGCACGTAGGTGCATAAAGAAGGTATATGATACTTGATTCGTCTTATTATCCTTCGGAAAATTTAAAGTACATGGATCCCATACTATTAGGGTAGGAATGAATAAAATCTGACTCGAAGAAAAATATTATTTTTAGGGTAAAGTATACAAATGATCATTTGATTATAGGTACTATTTTATTAAGTCTCTCAATTATTAAAAATTACAAAATGGTCTTCTAACTGTAGAGTGTTGCTTTGTTGAGTCCTCGACTATTAAAAGTTACAAAATGGTCACTCGACTATTCATTATGTTCCAAACTTATCCTTTTTCGTTAAAAAAATTGACGATATTATGAGCTAAACGTTAACCTGCTGAATGTGATATGATAAAATCTGATCCCAAAATCTCAAATGACTATCATTCGACAACCCCCAATTTTTTAACGAAAAATGATGAGATTGGAAAGATAATGAATAGTCGGATGACCATTTTGTTACTTTTAATAGTCGAGGGACTTAACAAAGCAACATTCCATAGTTAGAGGATCATTTTATAATATTTAATAGTTGATAAGCTTAATAAAGTAGTACCCTATAGTCAAAGGATCATTTGCGTACTTTACCTTATTTTTTAATTATAAATTAGTTGGAATCGTATTATTTAAATCAATTTCGATTTCGATTCTCGAGTTCAAGTTGAGTTTAGGTTTACTAATTTGAAAATTAAATTTAACGGTTTTACAATTTAGTCATTAATTTCTTTATTTCTTTAATTTCTTGTTCATTTTAAGTCCATTTTAGATCAAATTCGAATCATGCACACTCCTAGAATACCCATATAGCTTCAATTAATCTTTTTTTAAAATTAATTCCTTATTCTTTTTTAAATTAGTCCCTCAATTTTACATGATTTACTGATTTCTTCAATTACTCATTTGTTTTTTATTGTGATCAAATTTAAACTACATGCTCTACTAACACTATATAATCCCAACGTAACTTCAATTTTATTTTTTTCCCATCAATTCCTTCGAACTCATTTATACTGCATCAATAATTTGTCTTAAAAAAGTATTATTTAAAATGATCAAATTTACAAATCTTACTACATATGTAACGAAATTATATGAATATATATATATATATGATTAGAAAAAGTTGTTTACATCGAAACTAATATATTATTTAATATTAAAAAAAATTATAATTAAATTTAGGGTAAATTATGCGTTTAATACATAAACTATAAGTTTTGGTCTGTTTTTGTACCTAAACTTCAATTTTTTCAAAACCATACATAAAGTTTAGTTTTTTTTTTAATTTTAGTACCCATGTTCAAAATTCAACGTTAAATTTTGAATTTTTTTTAAAAGTTTAGGTAACAAATACGTTAAGTTTTTAACGATGGGTATTAAAATGAAACAAAATTAAACGTTAGTTATGATTTTGGAAAAATTAAAAGTTTAAGTACTAAAACATATTATCCCCTCTTATCGAAATTTACGCCGGATTATTGTATCGTGTTTTGTAGAAGAAGAGGAAGATCATGAGGGGATGGGCAGTAAGGTGGGCCGCCTGAATGCAAGCAAGAATAGATTGCAGTTGCTGCTTTGAAGATGCGTGCCCGTGTTTCAGCTTGCACAATCTACAGGTTTTTTTCTTTTACAAACTTTCATGTGGAACCATGAACATGATTGGTTTTGAGAACCCTTTACTGGTTCGACGATATAAGTTTTCATGCAAGCAGCAATAAATTTTCGTGTTTGACATTTATTTATGATATCATCGAATGAAATTTCAAGATTATTAATTTAATTACAACTGCTAATGAAATTTCAACATGCTAATCAAGCAAATTATGTCCGATTAAAACTATAACCATCTGATTTCTTTATTTCATTTATGAGTTAATTGCATCATATGACCCCAATCTATGACCTTACTTCAAATTAGTCCCTAAACTTCTAAACATTTCAATTTCATCTCAAGATATGAATATTATTATGAATTCGTACTCAAACTTTTGAACATTTCATTTTCATCCCCGAGCTATGATCTTCATCCTAAATTGGTCCCAAACTTTTTGAATGTTTCGTTTTTATCCTAAATTATTTGTATATACTAACACATCTCTAGTTAATAAGATCATTAGGCAAGTTATATTATTATATGTTTAAAAAAAATAAAATTTAGGTTAAACTATGGTTCAAATGGATTACATATTTGGATGAATTTAGGGATGGAATTGAAAGATCTAAAAATTTAGGGATCAATTTATAATGTGATACATAGTTTGGGGATGAATTTGAATGTTAAAAAGCTTAAGGACTAAATTAGAATGAGTCACAATTTAAGGATGAAATTAAAATATTTAAAAGTTTAAGGATTAATTTAAAATGAGAGTCATAGTTTAGAGATGAATGATGCAATTTCCTCTCCATTTACTTTTTAAAAAGGGGAAGGCAAGCGATGATATAAAAATTTGCATTCGATGAGTTTAAAACGCTGACATATAATTTTATTAAAATTACCTTTTTAATTAGTGGTAAGTGTTCGTTCGAGTCGAATCGAAATGAGTTAAAAAATTTCGAGTTGATGAGTCATATTTTACAACTTGAAGTGACTTTTTTTATTGAGTTTATAAAATTTGATTTCAGCCGAATTTTTTAGTTTCTGTTTAAATTTAATTACAAATATTTATAATAGTATGATATTATTTTATTCCAGTTTAATTGATTTTTTATAACCATACAATACACATATATGTATTCATATTTTTTTCATATGTAATATACATATATCATACAAATTTGAGGGACTAAACACAAACTTTAAACCCAATCCACTAATTATTAAAATTTCGAGTTATTTGAGTTATTATTTGAGTTATTCGAGTTGTATTTTGTAACTCGATTTGAACTTGAATTTTTTTCCGAGTCGAATTTGTGAAATTACATCTCGAAGTCAATTCGAGTCGAGTCGAAAAAAATCAATTTTTCGAGTTGAGTCGAGTTTTGCTCACCATACACATAAAAAGTCATGCATCAAGCTAGGATTTTTAAACAATATTAGATCTAGAAATATTTTTTTAGAGTAGATACATATATATTAATAACATAAAATTCTTATATGAGATGGAAAAAAGATATTCAAGACGAATATCATCACAAAATAAATAATAATCCAAAAAAAATCAAATTTTAAGATAAATATTTATCCACTCTTTCGATTTAGTGGACCCGTCACAATTTTTAAGGCAAAAAATTTCAATATAACTACGAGCTATGAGTATGACACAATGGTTGTTTATTTCATGTCTTTTTATGGATAATAAATATTAAAATATTAAAAAAGAAAACAGCAAAAATGCTGTTGATGTTTCCTGGTTTGGCAATAAAAGTCACCAGCAATTCTAAGACACTATGATAAGCCAATGTTCGAAAGAAATTATATATAAAAAGGAAACAATATTTTATGCGATTCTTGCTGCTAACATCATAATTCATGGATGATAAATTAATACTATAAATAAATATTATTTTTAAAATCAAGTAAAGGGAATATGAAACCCTAAAAGCTTTACAGCTCTCCTCTTCTAATTTAGCTGCTACCTTGATAAAGTGACTAGTGCATTCATTATTGGAGGCAATGCTGCCTACCACACCCATCATGCTCTTTTGTTTTCTATATATATATATATATATATATAGAAAAAGAACATGGATGATATATAATAAGATAACTTAATTAAAGATAAACTACGTCAAACATCAATAAATTACGTTCAAATAAATTGTATTAATGGTCTTATTATGTAAATTTAAAAGAATTTTACACTGTGTAAGTAATTCCTAACTATATATAGGGATGAAGTTCCCTTAGGATTCAAGAAGGGCCCACCCTTGTTAAAATTTATATATTCAATATAATTTTGGTTCATGTAAAATAAATATTTAAATTTAAAAAATATAAAAACTATTAAATATTTAATCAAGTAGGGGTCGAGTTAAAGAATGATAAGTTTGTGTTCTCAAATTTTTGGTCTAATTACAATTTAAGTCATTGTAAGTTTAAATATTAGACAAATTAGAAGTTTTGAGTGTTTTTTTTAATTTAGGGTGAATACAAGGTAATATATGTACAAAGACTTTCAACTATTTGACAATGAACGCTCATACCCTTACATACGTGCTTGAACTCGGGTTCTCATGGATAACAACAATCCCTTAATCATTAAGGTCGCTTGGTTCAGGCTGAATTCCGAGTTTAAAAACTAATAAGTCTTTAGATTTTTTTAAATAATCTAATATTTCGGCCTTGCCAATATTTAAGTTTGGTCAATAGTATTATTGTTACAATAATAGTGAGTAATCGATCATAAAATAAAAACAAAAAACAAACACATATTTTACGTGAAAAATTCTTTTGCCGATAAAAGGACGAGAAGTTTCACTATATCGACTGCAAAATACAAGAGAGATCGCATGTGTGTACAATAAATCTTGAACGCGTCACAATGCATACGGCAAACACTTCTGAGAGTCTATGCATCCATCACGTATCCTCATTTTCTCTCCTAATTCATTTCTTCACTAAATGAGTCGCACTGCAAACGATTTTAGTGGGACTAAAATGAATTCTCTGTCAATTATTATGATCAAATATTAAAGGAACATGAAGATGAGGTCTACTTATTTCGGATTCTCTTATTAATTAATAAGTAAATGAATCGAGTCTTTTAGGTATTCTTTTTTTTGCCCTCCGGTTCTAAGGTTTTGCCATGACTAATCTGATGACCCAGGTCGCACACCTGGCTTTGGTGAGTAAGTCTCCCAACGGAGATACTCTACATACACAAAGACTCGAACCTAAGACCTTATTAAGCGATATCAAGTTGCTTAACACTTAAAACAATCATGTTAATGGGTATTCCTTTTAAAAACACTAATATAGCATTCTCTTTATATTTATTACTCTTATAAAATAAAATGTAAGTTAGTTGTACTAACAGTGTTAGGTATAATAGTAAGTTATAGGGAAAATTACGTAGTTAGTATCTAAACTATTAGTTTTGATCCGTTCAGTACCTAAACTTTTAATTTTTCAAAAAACATACCTAATGTTTAGTTTTTATTTTATCATTTTTTGTCCGTTTTAGTTCCTAATCTATCTGTTTTGGCCCAAAAAATAACATTAAATTTTGAACTGGGTACTGAAATGAAACAAAAACTAAATTTAGGTATGATTTTGAAAAAAAAATAAAAGTTTAAGTACTAAAATAGATAAAAACTGATAGTTTAGATGTAAATTTGTATTTTACCCTAACTCATATTACGCTTTTAAGGAAAAATTCAAGCTAGATTCTTAGAGACGATAATGTCGAAATAACAACTACGAATTTTAAATATAAACCGTAAAATAAATCTGAGAAACATACACCAATACTACATTTTAACCCCTAAAAAACACCCAAAAAAAAACCATGACTTAATTGAAAATTCTCTGTCCTGGCGACAATAACATTTTTGGATCAAACTGGTGTTTTGTCTGCTGAAAAGTTTCCCATTTTGAGCCAAAATGATGAATCCATTCATCCTTGGAAGTAAAATGGGGAAGATACTGCTTAACCCCAATTCCATTTTCATCGCAAAACTTCAGTATTTCCTTATTTTGATCGTCGAAAGCTTCCCAATCATGGAATCCACTGGAAATCAAAAACCCTACTGCGTAGAAAACTTCTTCGTCTGGTATCACAGCTGACATCCTATCATCCCATCTGCCAAATATCAAATCAATATCATGATGTAAGCTGTTTGGTTCTCGAGAAAATTATTGTTCATGGTAAAGTACATAGCATCACATTAGACTAGAGGGCTGGGTCGGTTTTGAGTATAGTCAATTTGGGGTTTTAAATCTTTACTGTTATTTTGATTTAGTTTTGGGTTCGGGGTTTATCACGTCTAGATCATTTATGTTTAAGTTGTTTTGAGTTTGAGTTATTTGGATTTTAGGGTTTGAAACTTTTTGAGTTTCGATCACTTTGATTCGAGTTATTTTCTTTTAAATCATTCAAATTTAGATCATTTCGGTATTGAATTATTTCATTCTAGATCATTTAGGGTTTGACTCAATTCGAGGTTGTATCGTATTGAGTTTGAGTTGTTTTGAGTTCGGATCATTCAAGTTCCATACTAGGTTTTTTTGAGACATCATGACAAGTTTGGATCTTTTTGTGTTTTGTTCATTTTAGTTTGAATTTCTTGTTCGAATCTTTCGGGTTGAACTCATTTTGGGGTTCGGATCATTCAAGTTCCATACTAGGTTTAGGACAAATTGAGCTCAACCTATTAGCCTTTTACGGTCAATGAGTTGGATCAGGTCGAATTTTGAGTTCGGGTCAAAGGAAAAGGGTGCATATAATATCTTTTGTTAATTGATTCATGTACTTTTAAATTTTGATCCTCATTTTAAAATGGTCCTTAAACTTTTGAACATTTCAATTTAGAAGAAACGTTCAGAAGTTTGTATGAGATTGAAACATCCAAAACTTTGGGGACCGATGTAGAATGATGGTAAACAAGAGAGCAACTTACTTGTGTCTGTTCATGGGGTAAACAAGGACAGGTCCTTTGGTGATGTTTCGTTTAAGGACAATGCCCTTAAAAACTCCATCATTAAAACCACTTATCTGAGATTTTGGTACGAAAAGATTCAGCCATGGATGAGGAACATCCCATAATCCCTTTGATCTAAACTTCACCTCCCCACTTTGAACTCTATTCAAGAACTCTGCATACACCACATCCTTTTCCAACATAAATCCAGACATGTAACTCAAACCTTCCAAAACCTGTCGCAAATCCTATGTTTACACAAAAGAAACATCATCATTACCCTATTATTCGACATAAATAAGGGCCTAAATACTCAAATAAGAGCCTAACCTTTCAAAAATATTTAAATAAGGGCCTAACATTATCATTTGAGCATATTTGAAAATATCACTCTTATTTGAGGAGATTCGAATATATTACTCCTTTCGATCCATTAATTATGTCTTATGTTGGCAAAACACATAGTTTTAGGAGATAAATTTGACCTTACGTAAAATAAGAAAAATGACAAAATTATCCCTCAAAAGGTGATTGATAGATCTGACATATTTATTTTGATAAATGTAAAAGAATAAGGGCAAAAAAGAAATTAAATATTATTATTTGTTGACTTTTCTAATAAGACATTTTGAATGAGACAATTTTAAAACTCGGAAGAGTGTGTCTTTATTTGACCGTTTTAATACGTCAGTCCCTTATTCGAGCATTTAGCCTCTTCAATTTTAGCACAGTAAAGGGACCAAAATCAGAATTTGACCCAAACACACATATTCATCATATGATAAATGTGATGATTGAACAAATTACCTTGTCCACCGTGTCTTCATTTTGATCATCATAATGTTTGACAACTTCAAGACAGTAAATGATACCATGATTGGTGATAAGAGAGGCTATCCTTTTGTGATCTTTGGGTGGAAAAAAAGATGATCTCCAGCTATCCGGTGAGCCTTGATCCATCATAATTGAACCCTCTACATAATCCAATGCACTGCTGTCTCTTCTTCCATTGGTGGAGATTAGAAGCTCTTGGTCTCTAGTGAAAGCAGTGAAATCATTGTACAACATTCGTACCCACTTGACCTGTTAAAACCCAGAGTAAATTCATTGAGATTCGTAGAAGGAAATGCGAATTCGGGGGACTAAAAAGTTAATTTACCCTTTTCGGTGCTGGGTCGAGTGGGATTCTAGCTCGGGTTATTATTCCGAACTGGCCTAAACCTCCGAGAACAGCGTAGAATAGCTCCGAGTTGTTCTTGGGAGAGCATGTTATAATGTCGCCTTTTCCTGTGTTTAAGAATCACAAGTATAAGCAAAACCCTCTAAGTAACTGCATGCATGCATGCATGCAAGCAAGCTAACAAGCATATTTTGCTATTTAGAACATGTATAATTTTAGTATCATTATAAAGGGGTATTAGTATGACGGATATTTAACCTGAATTTTACGGGTTCCGACTTAATCTAACCTAATAGGATTGATTATTTTTATTAAAAAAATAGGTTCAAGTTGGATCGAGGTTTTTTGAAGAATATTGGATAAAATTAGATTCAAGTTTATAAAATTAGGATGAAAAATACTTGACTTAACCTGACCAGTTTATATATTTAAGAGTAATTTATATAATGCATATCTCTTTATATATATATATACTTAATAAAGACGATAATTATATATATATATGGCGTGGGACTGGATAAGATGGAGATTTTTACTCTAAAATTCATATCGAATTTCGAGTCAGATGGAACTTTCCTAAATTCAGGTCGGATTGAAGGACGGGTGGATCAGAAGAAAAGAAAATAACTTTACCTGTTATAACATCCATGTCGTAAACGTTACTAATCTGAGGACCGTATCGAAAGCTTTGGCCACTAATTCCAGCGTTGGAGAGCGTTCCACCTACGGTAAGGTGCAAATAATCGGTCCACGAAACGGGTGCAACGCCGTGTTTCAATGTCTCATTCAGCACGTCGAACCAGAGCTGTTCACCGCCTACATCGGCGTAAAGCCGATCACTCGAGACTCGGATTCCGGTCCCGTTCCGGTGCTTTTTCATCGACGTCATGTCGACGACGACCCCGTTTTCCGCCATCGCTTGGCCCCTGACGGAATGGCCATGCCCTCGGGCCGCCAAGGTGAACGGGACCGAGCTGTCGTAGCTAAATTTCACGAGAGTGGCAATGTCGTCGACCGACGAAGGGAAAAGAACCGCTCTCGGAACCGATCTCACGATGTGGCCGAAGTCTTGAGAGGCTGATTCGACGGCCGAAGGGTCGACGGAGAGTTTGTCTGCAACATCAAGGGGTGGGAGCTTAGGCAAAATGTTCATGATATTCCAGTGCTTTGATATCCCTACGATGGACATCAAACGGCTTATAATGAATATAGCTGTGAAATATGATGGAAGGGGGAAACTCACAGCCATTTTTGGTGAATAAAAAAGCTTTCTTTGCTTTGAGAATTTCAGTCGTTAATTTCAGTGTATATATATAGATATATGGTGTAGGAAATTTTGCATGAAAAGGATGAGGTTAGTGGAAGAAAGTCAGAAACGACGTCGTTACAGCGGCATTAAAGTGTATTTTTTTTCTTTAAAAAATATATGATTTCAATATTCTTTTGCTCCATGTACCTAAAAAGAGTTAAATTATATTAAAAGTATACAAATCATGACCTTTATTTTAAATTGATATTTAAAATTTTAAACATTTAAATTTCATTATTAAAAATCTTATTCTAAATTATTTCCTAAACTTTAGTATATTCCGGTTTCATCCACAAACTTTTGAACATTTCAATTTTAGGGGATGTTATTAGAAAGTTCAAAAGTTTGGGGACCCATTTATAATGAGAGACATAGTTTGGGGATGAATTTCACAAGTTTGAGATCAACTTAGAATGAGAATTAGGGATTAAGGATGAAATTATAATGTTTCAATATTTGGGGATCAATTTAAAATGGTCATTGTTTAGGGATGCATGGTGCAATTAACTCTTTTTATACAATTTAAAAGATTTAATCTAACCATGGACAATGGTGTATCTTGGTACTAAGTTTTGAAGGGGTCTAATTAAAATTTGTTAAAGAATTAAAGAGATTTAATGAAAATTTCCAAAATTCTTTTAGAGATCTAATGAAAATTTTTAAAAATTTAAAGAGAACCAATGGGAATATTTTTTTTAAAAAAAATGTGTGGACCAAATTAAAACATTTAAAAACTTAAATTCCTAATAAAAAGATCTAAAAAATTTAAAGGAGTCAAATTAAAACTTACAAAAGTTTCCAAAGGACTTAAAAATATTTCTTCAAATCTTGGGTGTCCCCATAGGCTCCCATCATCATCCGATCATCGTGGATAGTACTAATAATTTCCATCAAAATTTGCAGTCATACACATGTAATTATACCAACTTCAAAAGACAAAATATGGAGATTAAATCTTAAAGTTTAGCAAAGTAAAGGGACTAAAAGACATATTTTAACATTTTATTTTCAATGATAAAATCATCAATGATTCTCCCAGCCATAAACCATAGCAGCCACCCACAGGTTTTCCATTCTTGTGGGCATGTTTCTTTACTAAACCAAGTCAATTTCAACCGTCCGATCATGATCATGTGCTCAATATTAGTCCAGTATGGGTCAAATTTTAGGGTCGTGTACCATTTTTTCCGTTTCCAAATCGGTTTCTTTTTTTTTTTTTGAGTATTATTCAAATTTAGGTAACCATCATAAAGATTTTTCTTTTCCTCTTTCAGATTTTTTTCTCTTCCGAGATAAATTTTACAAATAGAGTAATTTTCGGGTTCGGATCGACGTCAAAAGTTTTGGTGCGTGGAGACATCAGCTGGATTTTTCTTCTTTACAGAAGATTTGGTGATTTGGTCTGTATGTATCTTAGGTTACATAACATCATTTGTGTTGAATGATAGAGTCCGTTAACTCGTGAAGCTATCATGACTTTGAGTTGTGAAAATGACAAAGGAAGATTCGGTATGTATCTTCAAGATGAGTTTCGATATTTAGATTAGTGGAAATTAAAGAATAAATCACTTATAATATAAATTATTCATGTTCATGAAAAATAAAAATAATTTATATATATATATATATAAGATGTGTTTCAATATTTAAGTAGATGAAAAATAAAAGGAGTCGTGTGACATCTATAGGTTCATATAAGGACTCTATATATGTCATGTTAGAGGAGATATGGGTGGATACAAAAGCTATCATATAAAAACCCGTCGTCACGAACTAAACTATTTCGGTTTAAAGTATGATTGTTATCCTTTGGGTTTCGGGTTTGAGTACTAGTGACTATGGATATTTGAGCGTTCATTGTCAAATGATTGAGTCTCTAGAACATATATTACACTTGTAATTATCCTAGATTAATAAAAAGAAAATCCCACTATTGGTCCTGATTAGGGTGCAAGAGTAGAGCTTTCGAGGTTAATTAACACCATATGCATTAAGCCCCGTAGGGGGGCGATTGTATATCGTTATTTTGGAAAAGTGTAAACTAAATTAAAATAAAAATTTTGCATACCCATTATTTATATAAAAAAGAACATTAAAATTTTAGATCACATTCTTAAATTTTTAGATCCGCGACTGCGGCATATCTAATTCGTACAAGACTATTATTTCGGTTAACTTTTGATTGAAGGTGGGAATTCACAAGAAGACTTCTTGTAATATTGTATTTCTTTTTCATCAAGTAATTAATTTTATACATAGATAATATAAATAAGAAATATTATAAATTTTAGAATTCGTGTGAGATCTTGTAGACCCAAACTTCTAGTAATTTTAATATTATAATGAATTTATCTTTGATTTTTCCTTTTTAGGATTTTCTACGTTAATCTACACCTCTCATTTTTATTGTGGGACACAACTTGCATACCTAGTAGGGATGGGTTGGTCTTCGGTCAATTTATCTAATCTAAAAATATAAATCTTCCACCCGAAATCGATCTAATCTGAGTTTAGGGGTGACTTTACCATATCCGAATCTGACTCGATTTTTTGATATAAAATCCGACCCGACTCGAAATAAATATACTTATAAAATACTATTTTTATTCAATAAAAATAAAGATATAATTTGAAAAAAAAAATATATAGAGTGTTTTCATTATAATTATCATAAATATATAGGTAAGTTTATATTATTTTTCAGACAGATCGGATATTTTTCACCCTAAACCGTAATATGATCAGCCCGAACCTAATTTTTTTTAAAAAAAATCGATTTGATTGAGTCATAACATGTTAGATTCGGTCCCGTGTACATTTCTAATATCACTTTCTTGGAAGTCAAGTAATGGACTAACAGAAACATTAATGTCATTCAAAAGACAAATCTTTGACCCCCAAGATCTTACAGGTATGAACCAAGACCTTTCAACATTACATATCTTGATGAAAGACAACCAAAATGTACATAAAAGACCATTAATGTCCAAATCCAAGCTGTCCTTTAAGATACAGAGATCTCAAGAAACTATCTTGAGAACGACTATAGATATATAGGCACGCGTGGCATCTCCCACATTAATGTGGTAAATTTTTATACCTAACACAAGACAATGGAAGAAAAGGAAGACATAATTTCAAAATTAGCTCTCCCAACATTTATAAAAACGACCATTTTGGCCTCTATTCTATCTTTTGAAATACTTTGGCCTCAACGTTTTATGTTTAGTCAAAAAGGCTCATACTATTTGACAGAATAATCACTTTGTCTCTTATTCTTTTTTCGGAGGTATTTTAGCCCTCACCGTTTCATTTTAGGTTAAAAAAGACTCATATTTTGGAGCGTTAATAGTGTGTTAGCTAATAATTTTCATCTTTAAAGGGAGGTTTTTGTCACAAAGTGAATTGTTGGGGGGCCAAAATGCTTCAAAAAAATAGAATAGGAGATAAAATAATTATTTTGACAACGTTAGGAGCTATTTTTGATATTATGCTAAAAAAATAGTGGGGCGAAATTTATTTTTACAAATAGTATGCATGCCTTTCAATTGGACAGGAATTCAGGTTTAATCTATCGGGTTTAAATAATATAAGATTTAAAATTTTGGGTAAATTATATGTTTAGTATATAAACTATCAGTTTTAATCTGTTTTAGTATCTAAACTTCTATTTTTTTAAAACCTACCTAAAGTTTAGTTTTATTTCATTTAGTATCCGCCATTAAAAGCTTTAGTTTTTGTTTCATTTTAGTACACATTCAAAAGTTAGCGTTAAGTTTTGAAAAAATTGAAAGTTTAGGTCCTAAAACATACCAAAATTAATAGTTTAGATACTAAATACGTTAAATTTTTAACTGCATAGTAAAATGAAATGAAAACTAAACATTAAATATAGTTTTCAAAAAAATTGAAAGTTTAGGTACTAAATGCATAGTTTACCCTAAAAATTTTGAATCATGTTATCAGGGATTTAAATTGCGGTTGCCTATTGTGGTCATTGCTGATATCGCGTTCGTGAATTTTTTCTAAATGAGTTGTTTTTTTTTAAAAACTGATTTTTTTTAAATGAAATGGTGGAAAAATAACGGAAAAGCAGTCCGCTATTGCCACGATTAGCTGTTATCCCCTAAATTGCGGCCGTGATATACTACTATTGGTGTGATTCCGCTTTCACACCGCTGTTTTCTGCAATAGCGTATCGGACGCCGCCGCGACCGCGATACCGCTATCTGACCGCTATTTGAAACCTTGCATGTGATTATAAGTTTGGATTATTTCAAGTTTTGATCCTTTAGAGTTTATTTCTGGTTTTAGATTTAGACCATTCAGAATTAGATTGAACTTAGATTCGAGTTGGTTGTGTCTATTTTTAAGGATTGCAAAAAATATAATGGCTGCAACATGAAATTATAAATTATTTTATGAGTTTTTTTTAGCATCTTTCATATCTGTTTTACAATTTATATAAGATATTTGCATAAGAATTTTGGGTAAAGTACATAGATGGTCCCCCGACTATAGGGCACTGCTTTTTAAGTCTCTCGACTATTGAAAGTTACAAAATAGTCCTCTGACTATAGAGTGTTATTTGTTAAATCCCTCGACTATTAAAAGTTACAAAACTGTCACCCGACTTTTCATTATGTTCCAAACTTGTCCTTTTTGGTTAAAAAATTAGTGGTATTCTAGCTTAACGTTAGTATGCTAACTGTGATATGATAAAATATGGTCTCAAAATCTCAAACGACTATCATATCTCAGATATCATGTTAACGTCCAGCTTGGACAACCAGCCAAATTTTTAACGAAAAATGATAAGTTTGGAACATAATAATAGTTGTGTGACCATTTTGTAACTTTTAATAGTCAAGGGACTCAACAAAGAAACACTCTATAGTTGGAGGACCATTTTGTAACTTTCAATAATTGAGGGACTTAATAAAGTGTGCCCT